TACCAAGTATTCCACTCTTAATGCCTACAAAGTCAAAAATAAGAGATAAGTCCCTTCTTAACTGAATAGAATACAACCTTAAGATAAATCTCAGATTTAAGATCAGATAAACCTAAAGTACTGTATCTCCCTATTCTAAAACTGCACCCACTCAGCAGGAGAGGACATTTTGAAGGATTCTTCACTCAAGATATACAAGTTCCCTAAAAAATACAGAATTAAAAGCAGAATTAGCAAGGTTCAAATACTTAGCTCCAATCAGGTCTTTTTGGATTATCTCGAACAAGGAACTCTTGCCTGGCACACGCTGATACTTAATCATTTACCTTCAACTTAATTAACTAAGGTAAACCAAGATAAACTTTATGATTGTTTTAATCACAGAATATGAACCCAGCAAACATCCCCTTTGTTTTGAAGTTGGAAATGTTTAAACTAGCTAGGCATTACTCATCTAGATTCTTAGAGACACCCCATTGTCACCTACCTCATTCTGTAACTATATTAAAAAGACCCTCTAGTTCACCTGTGGGCAAACTATGGCCCGTGGGCTGGGTCCGGCCCACCAACCAGTTTTAACCGGCCCTTGAGGTAAAAAATAAATGAGTCAATATTTGCCATATTCCACTTTGTTTAGTGCTGTTTTTTCTTAAATTTCATTATTCACGCCGTTAGATAGCGTACGAACGCTTTACCACAGTGATTCCAAACTGTGCATCACGCCACCTTGGGGAGGCACCATTGTCGGTCAGAGGTGTCTCAGGTATCGCCAGTCAAAGAAACATGTTATTACGAGCAAAACCCGCTGTTCGTGCACGCAGAATGTACAAGTTGCACGCTACCTAGCACGATTGTGTCACATGACACTGGCCACAAGAGTCGGCAGTCTGTAAGCAGCGTACCAGTTGACTGCGGCTTCAGTATTTCATGTTTTTATGAGTGGTCATTTTGTGAGTTTTTTGTTACATGATCACGATTGAGAAGTTTTTAAATATGAATAAAACACTTGAAGGACACAGAGCCTGGTTCTAAAGAGAAATGGAATCGCAAATACAGAAAGTATGACGACAGTTTCTTGAATTTCTGTTTCACGTCCAAAAAGAACATCCTCCGTGTGTTGTTTGCCTTAAAGTGTTGGCTGCTGAGAGCATACTCCCCAATAAATTGAAACGTAATTTGGAAACTGTTCACAGTAGTTTGATAAGTAAGCATCGTGAGTATTTTTCGCGCAAGTTAAATGAATGAACAGAAAGCTGCTTTTTCCAACCAAACTATAGTCCCCAGCAAAGTTTTCTTTCATCATACAAAGTTGTGTAACGAGTAGCACAATGCAAAAAAACATACTATTGGAGTACCAAGGAATAAGCAACAGAGCTCTGTGTATTCTGATTCCCTTTGCAATTTCCTGCCTTTGTTAGGCTGGGTTTTCAGCACTTGCTGTTATCAAATCCAAGTTCAGATCAAGAGTCAATATTGAGAAGGAGATGCACGTTGCCATTTCAAAAATACTACCCAGTATTTTTGGTAAATAATGTTAGACTAATTTATTAAACAACCCCACCTACCCATTAAGAGGCACAAACAAAAAGATATTGTATTTCTCCCCCTTTTTTAAAAAATGTGGTTGATATTACATTTTTACTTTTCCTAAGTCAATGTATTTGCATTTTACAAAGATGTTGACTTTTTTTAGATTTTTTTGAAAATTGTTTTCACATTCAAATAATTTCAATAAAATGTGCTGTCAAGTATTTTTACTATATTTATCAAGCTTTTTGGTTAATTATTGGAATTATTTGGATTAATTAATTATTTGGAAAATTATTTAAAATAATACAAATTGGATCAACTTTGTTTTTATTTTGACCCATCATTTCCTTTTCAAATTTATAATCTTTTGTAAAATATCACACTGCCATAGAACTTGTTTGACACAGGGGACACATTTGACAGGTCAAGGGAGGCACGGACCCAAAAAGTTTGGGATCCCCTACACAGTGTTCAAAGAATACAGTCTCAGTTGGCATTTTTCTACCAAACATGCTAACTATGCTAGCAATCTGTCATGCGAGGAGTGGGCTAATAGAGCTTCCAAACTAGCCGCTAGTTTACAGGCTCAGCAAATGTATTTTTCCGCCCTTCTACTATCCAAGAGGCCAGAACTAAGGCAAGCAACCTGCCTGCATATAAAATTGCTAAACAAAGCAAGCCGCTCTCTGAAGTGGAGCTTTTGAAGGCGTGTATAATAGAAACTGCAGATATTCTTTGTCCAGAGAGCAAGATCAAATTTGAGAAAATAACTTTATCACACCGAACAGTTTCCCGTTGGATCAAGGTAATCGGTGAAGACTTGGCTTGTGAGTCAAATGTCAATTTTTTTTTTATAGTTAAAAAAATATTTTTTCCCTCAAGTTATCGTTAACCTTGAACTAATAAGCCTATGTTGGATTTTAAACTCATTTAGGGCATAGGCTATCTGTAACAGCAGCCCGAAGTGGCCCACTATACAGTTTCAGGATTTTAAGTGGCCCTTGGGCCAAAACACTTTGCCCACTCCTGCTCTAGTTTGTCCTTTAAACAGTATAAATTTCTCTTTACATTCATATTGAGTTACAGTAAAAACTCACTGTAATGGACTTATAAGGGGGAAAGGGGTGTCCATTATTAGTAAATGTCTGTTAAATCATGGATGACATTTTGTAATCCCACTATTACTGTATATGAGAAAAATATCTGTGAATACTATATATGTGCTTTCTACATTTTTTACTTATATTTTAAACAACTGCAATCAACACATCAACGAAAATTATTCCTGTGCATTTTCATCACAAATATACAAGGCCTTTATTTCACTTGTCATAATTATACTGTATGTACTGTAAACCTGTTGTAAGCAACAGCAACCACTGATATTCCTGTATTTTAAACCTATTTAGTTATTAATTTTAACTTTCTATTGGTGCATTTTGCAGAGCATTTTTACACATTGTTAACATTTTAGTGTATTTATGAAATAGATTGTTTATTCAAAATTAGCTGAAACATACGCAACACAAACGCATACCACACCTATCATAAGCAATTTTATTATTGCAGGAGAAGTCTAGTATTTCTAATTTTACAGACATAATTCTCCTTTAACATTTTTTCCGATTAATTCTGAAGTCCATTAAAGTAAAGTGCAGTAAACCAAGGGTTTACCGTAAATAGCCTTTCAGAGGATCACCAATCTGTTTTTCATAGAAATATTAGAAACAAATATAAAAGAAAATAAAAACCCTCTTTCAATGGAATTGCACAGAAACACAGTTCCTAGCTTATCTTAATGAAAAAGTAATTAGCATTATACAATGATTTGGCTAAAATGGAGATCTAGTTTTTTTAAAACAAAATGTATACTTTGGAAAGTCTAGTTATACAGTATAAGAATTACCCAATAAAAGTGACATACATACCAAAAGAAACTTGTATATTGAACAGTTATCCTCTCACTTGTAATTTGCAGTGTAGCTCTGCTGTGGTAATAAAAAAGTCTTACAATTCATCCCCAAAAAGTCTTTTAATGAATTGTGAATGTTTTATCTCTTTTCTTCAAGATATTACACAGATAAATTCTACAACTGGACTCCGTGAGTAACTGAATATCTAATATTAAAACATTTTAATATTCTGAAACCATTCTGTTTAATGTTCCTGTCTCATGTGTTGTGTTCACTGTGGTTAAATTGAACAAAACCCAGAAACAAATATATGAGTAAAGAATAATGATAATGTTTCTTTATTAGCCCTGTACAATTTCTTGCATTAGGAATTATCTTTTCGCAAACCCCAGCTTGCTCTCCATGAGACACACATATAGGGAGAGAGCCTGGGGTCAGAGCGCAGGGTCTGCCATTGTACAGCACCCTTGGAGCAGTTGGGGTTAAGGGCCTTGCCCAGGGGCCCAACAGAGTAGGATTCCTCTGCCACCTGCAGGATTTGAACTGGCAACCTTCTAGCCACAGGTGCAGATCCTTAACCACAGAGCCACCGCTCCGCCTGGAATATGATGACTCCTCACAGTTTGCTGTTAAAAACTGAACTGGGAAAATTCTTTAAGTAGCACACATGACCTTCAACCCCAGAGCATCATCCTTTGAAGTAGCATGCTAAAATTACAGATGTAAGATATTTTATATTGATCATCATAAAATATAAAAAGATTACTGTAAAATCACGTTATCATAGCCACATGGAGCACAGGAAACATATTTTTCCAACAATGAATTACAGTACCATTAGGACATTTTGTTGCACAGATTATTATGAGGAACTGTAATTGAGTGAACAGTTGATGGGGAATAAATTATCATTGGTAAGACATGCTGTCAATTGTTTAGTCTGAGCAGTAACTGGACCACTTCTTGTTCTTCAATGGGAAATTAAGTTTATTAATTTCGATGACTCATGAAGCAACAGTGCATTTCTGTTTTTATTTGTATTTACTATTGATATTTTTCAAACATTTTCATTTCTAAGTGATACATATTCACATACTCTTTGCCTGCCTTTACTCTTTAAATGCATTGCCATGCATGCTTTTGGAAAATTAATCATCATGGATGCTGTTTCAAGCAAATTTGGAGGAAGTTCTTGATTTTTACCATGGCTCAATCAACAACTGCTACAGTTAATGGCTTCACTGACTTTATAAATGATGTCTCAGTTAAATTATTTAAACTAAGTGCCTTTTTTCAGATGCTGCTACATTGCATCAATCTTGTTGGACAGTTAAATTAAATTTGCTGTGTAGACATCATTGTGAATTTCCTATAAGTACAGTAGATATAAAGAATATGATTCTTTAATATCATTTATTAGCTTTGAGAGTCTGCAAATGAAGACTTTGCAGATATTCCTGCCATTAGATAAGTACATTAGTTTTTCTGTTGCTGTAGGTTTCATGCAGACAATCCTCATATTTAACCTTTGTACATTCATTTTCCTGTTTTTCAGGGCAATACCCTTATCCCTTTATCTGGGTAGCTGCTGCGGAATTGTTCTCTCTGATGGCAACAATGGTCCTGAGCATCCTCTATTTCAGACACAGTGAGTTGTTTTTCTTTTTAATTAATCGTACTTTCTTAGCCTACATCTTTCTAATCTTTTTACTGCTGTCAGGACTGCCTCCTATCATTTCTAATAGAGTACTTGTGTTCTAGGGGTAAATGCTTTTTATTTTTACTTTTTTATTGTTTGAGCATTTGAGTGAAAAGATATAGCAAATCTATAGATTTTAGTGATTACAAAAGTGTGAAAACAACTAAATGAAACTAAATCAACTAAGTGAATTTTTGTATGAAGGACTTGGTCAATATTGCAGATTTTTCTGCACATCTGCAGAACGTTCACTGACGTCCTTCAGATTTAGTTTACACAAAAGGTTGAACATTGACCTTGAGGTGTTGCTCCAACATACCACTGAAATGAAGGAATTGTTTTCTCAATAAACTAGACATATTGATTAATTGATATTCAGCTGCTTAAATCTGTTTCCTTTGCCCAATCAACTCTCTTATTAAAGCAGTGATTTGGTGTTTATACAATAGTATACATAGTCAATATAGTATATTGTCTATTTTGATAGTCTTTTAAGAGAAATAATTTGCCTTGTATTGTATTTGTTGAAAATATGAGTACTGACATTTTGGACTAAATGGTATTTCTTAATTATTTAACTTACAGAGAGAGACAAACTGTGCACTGAGAGGTGAGTCAAACTTCTTACACTCTATAATTTCTTGTTCTTTAGTAAAAATATTGTGACAAATCATAATAACTCATAATAATAGCTCATAAAATACAAACAGCACATTTTTAGGAAAACAAAAATTCTGTCTTGATATCTAACAATCAGTAGGGTAATTAACAGATAAAGAAGGACATGTAAGCTCCAAATGTAATCTGTTATCGATGGTACTCCATTTATATATCAATACACCCCATTTTGCCAATATGTAATTCTTTTGTTTTTTCTCTCTGACTTAATTCAGTGCTCATAGAACAAATATAGAAAACATACATTTTGGAAGATTTTATGTATAATTTGTTAATTAATTTGAGTTATATTGTTATGCTGCTCAGTAAAAAAAAATATTTCACTTAAATATTTAAAAGTTACCCAGGTGTGTGTTGCCCTTCAGTGTTGATGTTACATACCCCGATAGGCTAGGGGTAAATGGAGTGCAACATTAAGGGAATTGCAGGCGTGCAGGGAGAAGTCTTTGGTGTGGGGACAAGATAGTTGTAACGAATTCGGATAGGTAATCAGAAATGAAATATGTTCAATTTGAATAGGTGACTGGTATGGGGGTAAAGGAAAACACGAATGTGAGAAAAGGAAATATGAGTGGTGCCAAAGGAACGAAAATAAGAAACAAAATGGAGCTGGCTAATTAAATGAGGGCAAGCTGACCTATCTACAAAATAAAACCCAAAACACTTGTCTTCGGCATCTTCTAATGCCCTAGCTAACCTACACTGACTACCCAAAACCATACAAGACAAAAGGCATTCACCCGTACTAAACTAGGGTTTCAATTACAAAGATAAACTGCATGTGCACAATGTTACCCGACAACCTTAACTAACCCTTTACACAAAAGTTCACACAAATACACAAACAAGTGAGCTACGAATACAAATAAGGGAAAATGAGTGTAGACATAAGGAATAGGGAACAAAAGAGCACAGAGGTTGATATAACACATTTGGGCAAGATAATGGCGAATAAAGAATAATACAAACAAACCGAAGTACAAGGAGGTGATGAACACAGACAAACAAAGCTGAAGCTATACGGGAACACACACACGAAGTGAAATGAATGAAAACGGAGAGAGACAAAGCTGAAGGAAAACGTAAGCGAAATGAAACCGAAGCTGAAGCTGAGCCGAGCAGAACTGAAAATCGAGCGAAAGGCCCCCTATATTCTGAAAACCTCGAAGAAGTTGAAGTTGAGATCTGATTGGTTGAGAAGCTGATTAAGAATGTCATAATATGGCAAAGTGGATGAATTCATGAACCAATGGGGAGGGAGAACAACCAAAGTCAGGAAGTGAGTGTGGAACAAGAAACAAAATAAACACACACGAACCACACTGGGACGTAACAGTTGGATGATGTGTGTTTTCTACAGATCAGGCATTAAGAATGCAAATAAAAAATCACATCTGTGGGAAGCTAGATGTGCTGTACTTCAATATTACTCAATATGCCAAATTCAGTGTCATCCATGGAAAAAGACAATCGATGGGTAATACTTATGGTGCGTCACATATTAGTGAAACATTATGTTGATTTAATCTGTTGGTCTACTTCTTCAAATCCACTTAACGTAATATTAGTATGGACTCATAGAACAAAAGGAAATGTTTGCTAGCTAGAAAATAAAAGTAAAGCATAAAATGTAATGATGTTTCTGAAAATAATTATTAATTTATATTAATATAATATTTTTATATAAAATGTCTTGAGTATTTACCAGTATTCACCCCCTTTAATTTTTTCACATTTTGTTCCTGTTACACCTCCACATTTTAACACATTGAAATATTTTTTCTCCCTTCAATAACACAATAAATAAATAAACACATTTATGAATCAAAAACTATTTTTAATTCAAGAACATTCATTTTTCCAGAATGAAAGACTTACATTTTTCATTTACAAAAGTATTCACTCCCCCTGAGTCAATACTTTGTACATAGTCCTTTAGCAGCAATTACAGCCGTAAGTCTTCTTGGGTACGTCTGTATGAGCTTTGCACATTTAGATTGTGGAATTTTTTCCCATTCTTCAATGCAAATTTGCTCCAACTCTGCCAAATTAGATGGAGAGTGTTGGTGGACAGCAATTTTACCACCATATCTGTGGTATGATCTGAGGTCATACCACAGATTTTCAATTGGATTCAAGTCTGGGTATTCTGGCTTTCCAGAATACTAACCTTCTTTTCTCTATCCATTCCTGGATAGCTTTTGCTGTGTGCTTTGGGTAATTATCCTGCTGGAAAATGAATCTTTGCCCTGAATGCAGATCTCTGCTTGACTGAAACAGGTTATCCTCAAGGATTTGCCTGTATTTAGCTCTATCTGTGTTGCCCTTGATGGCAACAAGCTTTCCAGTTCCTCCTGCCGAAAAGCAGAGCATGATGCTGCCACCACTATGCTTGACAATAGGGATGGTCTAATCTGGGTGTTGGCCTGTATTTGGTTTTGCAAAACATAACACTTTGCTTTCAGGTCAAACAGCTCAACTTAAGTCTCATCAGACCACAAAATGTTCTTCCGAAAGGTTTCAGGTGTTGTCACGTGGCTTCTAGCAAACTGCAGACATGACTTAATGTCGGCCTTTCTCAGAAGTGGCTTCCTATTAGCAACTCTCCCTCCCCAAGAGCTTGAACTCTCAAGATAATTGAATACCTCACCCAATTAAGGTTGTTAAAACAAAGGGGGTGAATACTTATAAATTAAGTAATTTTCAGATTTGTATTTGAAATATAATTCTGAAGACATCTAAATTCTTTATTTCATTTCAACATTATAGAGAATTATTTCTACATGGGTGGAAAAAAATCCCATTTAAATATGCTTTAATTTGACTTTGCAACACAGCAGAACGAGAAATAATCAATTGGAGTTGAATACTTTCTGAAGGCACTGTAAATGTTACTGGTAGCTGAAAATAACAAATAAGGTACACCAGTATTCCAGCTTCCTAATGATTTTTTCTGCTTCAAAGGATTAAACTCAGTCACTTGCTGTAGCTGTTTTGGAAAGTTTGATGTCTTGTTGTTAACTACATTTCCTATGAACATTTGCTGTTGTTAATATTTTAATTGCCATTAATGTTTTAATGGAAAAAGAAACACTTGTAGTTTTTAATTTAGTTTGTCAAAGCAGTGGGATGCATTGGTGGTTCAGTGATAGAATTCTCACCTGCCACATGGGAGGTCAGAGACAATGAGTAATGAATTGCCCCTTGGGCATAATACTCTTTCTCTTATTATACAATATAATAAATAATATGTATACAACATTAAACTTTTTATTATTTGTATACATCACAGTATGATAAATATTAAAACTAATATTAATAATAAATTAAGTAATAACATGAATGATCCTCCATAGTGTTGAGTTAGCAAATGTGTGAATACTGCCATGTGAGGAGTAAAGTAAACCAACTCTGACCACCATACCAACAATTTCCAGGATGTTTCTAGAGAAAAGGCAACTTAAAGATGCCCTTAAACAATTGCAACTGAAGCTTATATATATATATTTGCTTTTAAGCACTAACCATAAACCAACTATTTATAATACATTTCCATAGCTAAAATTATAATTAAATTATGTATTATTATTATCTTAAAATCTCATTCCCAATGTACTGTAGTGGCTCTAAAACCAGTATTGTAATGTATATAAAAACAATAAAACATGTACATAAAAAAACAACAGAGGTTACCTTAAAATATTTTTTTATTTGAATGACTTTGTGCATCATGTACTGTACAGTGAGTTGAATTGCAGCTAATGCAAGTGTAAACTATATTTAGTTCAGTATATTTAAACTATAGATATCTCAAGTTGAATAAAAGCTCACAGTGGCATTCAAAAGACAAACAGCAAAGATTTAAGATTAGTGATGTTAGAAAATGAAACAAAAAATGTTCATATCTCTTCCCCCCTTTAAGGATGAGGAGGCTGGGACCCCCTGCAGAGTTTAGATTTAATTCACAGTTTAAACTTGAAGAAAAGGTTGGCTACACACACGATTCAACAAAACAGTAAAAACAGCAGGATCTGGCAGTAAATTAATAATTGCTTTTTTGGTTTGTGAGTTTACATGTTAATGAAAACTACAGAGAATCCTAAGAGCTCTGCATTTCTGTCACGGATGTCAGAAGGGACGAACGTGGAATGGCAAGAGAGTGAAAAAAACCCTATGCATAGCCGCCGGACGGGGGTTTAGCTGTTCAGGAAATGCCGTATAGAAACCTATGCCCTCAGGCCACGGATGTGGGGTGATCTGGTGCTAGGCGGGTCTCAGGACATCAGAACCTCAATGCTGAGCCAGGAAGAAAATTAACCAGGAAATATATAGCCCCAGACAGAAAGACACTGGAAGGACAAGCAAAGCACAGGAAACTAGGGGCAGGACAGACTAGGAGTGCCCTCTGGCTGTAGACGGTGTGACAATTTCACTATAACAACATAAACATGCTTTAACTTAAACAAACTTTAACCAAGATTAGCTCTGTACGGCAGCATTGTAATACAAAAATCTCAAACCTAGGACTTTTTTCTACCAATTCATAAACTGCTATGTAGGACTTTTCATACTCCTCTTGTAGACAGCAGGCTACACCAAGGACATATTGTATTTGCCCAGCCCAGTAGTTGCAGAAATCTTTGGTGTTGTGGTTTGAGGTTAGTTTCAAAAAGAACATCTTATAAAAAAGCAATTGCTACTGTTTATATATATAATAATGATATTACAATTGTTATATTTCCGTGAAATATGTTAGAAACTTTTCGATCCCACAAGCATTTTATCATTTTAGTTAATCCAAATTAAAAAGTGATGTATATCTGAAACATCAATTAAATTTACTTGCTATATTTATTTTTTTGCTCTGATTTTCAGCAGCAATACATTTTGGAACCACTGTAAGGGGCATCAGAAATATATTATCAGGGGAGTAAATGTGTCAGAATATGATTTGCAAAGTTCTTGGCAGGTGGCTGCAAAGTTCTGTGCTCAAGTTACTTTGTCAAATTGTGACACACCCAGCTTTCATTTAAATTATTTTTTGCTTGCAACAAACTTGGGATCATAAACATTTTATCAAAATTATTACGGCATTATGATTACAAAAGTGTGGTTTTCTTAAAGGAAAACTCTATTCTGTATACTGCAGGTTACTTTTAACAATCAAAATGGAAAATAATTATTAATAATTCTATATAATGCATGTAATTCTGTGTTAAAAAATCTGTGTTACTGTATACTACAATTGACATAGGAAAGCACTAATGGGTTACTAAACATTTAATTTTAAATTAAAATAAGTTTTGGCTTACAGCCACACACAGCTGCAGGACATTAAAGATTCACTGCATCATCTGGCAGTTTTACAGACCTGCATCAGATATATCTTATGACATCTTGTGCATTTGAAATGGCTGCATCTTTATATGTAAGGCCTTTTGGGATCCATCAAAGTGCTACACAAAAGTACAATTAATTATTATTATTGGATTGATTTATAAAAATGTAGAACAGAGGGACAGTAAAGTATTTTGGGATATTAAGTGACATTTCTCTTTTCTCACCTCAACAGCAGCTGAAGAACACAGAAACTGAAGTGTGCCATGATACTGTGAATTGAATTGAAAGGCCAAAGAAAGCAGCCGGATCGGTCAGGTTAATAATAGATCTGAGTGTTGCCACAGTGATGCCACTGCACTGATACACTGAAAGGCAGCTATGGAGGGAAAGCATCAAAGAAATCAAAGAAGGACACCCTGCTTTAAATCAGAGAACAAAAAAAATGTGTTTTACCTTCTGATATTTAACTTTAAGTTCCTCTTGATCATACTTTAGCTATGTGAGTGTAATAGGGATATTACTTACCTCCTGCACTGAAGGGACCATATAATATTAAGGCCCCTAGCTACTGCACACAGAATTTATTACAGCTGTGATATATAGTTTGCATGCCTTCAGGATATTTACCAAGATAGTAATATTTTTTAATTTATTCAATCCACATTCCAAACATTTAATAGATCCAAATAAAAAATATAATTTCTGGGAAGTGAGTATGTTTTTATACCATACACTGTTCTTCTTTTCAGTAAGGATAAAACATCTTATTGTGACTTGTCTAGTTTATAATACAAATTCATTTTACATTCATGAATGTTATCTTTCTTAATTACAAAATTACATATTAAGAAATGTTATGACCGGATAGAGAGATGTATACAAAGATTTCAACACAAAAGCAATACGTGGTATTATGTTTTATTTCTCACATTCTGTTCATTTTAGAAAAAAATATTTACAGCCTCATGGTCTAATCAATTAGATTAAGCTTTACATTGTTACTGTGTAATGTAGCAAATGCTGCCATCAGACTGTCTGTTTGAAATATGTTATTAAATGTAAACATTTAAACGTATTTTTCTTGTTATATTGATTTATTTTGCTGACAGTTACATCCAAAGTAACATACATCGACACCCATTTATACAGCTTGATATTTTACTCGACCGATCTGGATGAAGTGCTCAAAAGACGAATAGGAGAACCTTTTGTGGGATTTGATTTTACTCAGGGTTTTATCTAAACCCCTAGCCCCTGCTCCACCCTACTCAGTTACAGTAATGCAAAGATAACATAAGAGTTTGTAATTGCTGTACAAGATCAAGCCTGGTTTCTAGGCAATATTGTGACACATTATGACAAAAATAATTAGACAAGTTATTCCTCTAGATTTTTTCAATGGCCAATGGAGAAAAAAATAATGCTGGCTTAGATGATGAAACGCTTGCAGAGATAAAAGTTTTCTTTCTATGAAATGATCAATTTTTTAGAAAACAATATGAGAGGTAAACAATGCCTCTGCATCCATATGACAAACTACGAGTTCTACATACAGTATGTATATACTGTAGAATATTAAACAATTTAAGATTTTTTCTAGATATTTTTATACTGTATATAAACGATGATTTATCTTAGTTAAAAGTCAAAACTAATTGTTAATATTGCACAGTTTAACCCAAAATAATAGAAATATGTGCTGTTCATGTTTGCATACAGTATACCTTAAAGAAGAGTTTCCCAACCTGGCGGCCCACATGACCGACCATTAAAAACTTCCACGGCCCATAGAAGGACCAGGCCCTCCTCACCATTTGAAATGGGCTAGCGTTGTACCTCAGCAGTAGCCTAATTGACACCTGTAATCAGAGAAAATATGTACATACAAGCTACAAACAGTCAGCACCTCACAAAACAAAAATTAAAATAAAGTAAAAATAAAAAAATATTGTAAAAGCTAAGGTGCTAAGGCACCAGTATGGCTCTTTCTTTATTATGATATCACACGCACTTAACATTAGTCTTGTCAAAAACAAAACTGAACTGAAAAAACTGAAAAATATGCACAATAATTATCAGAACAATTATAAAACAGAAGCAGATGTTAACTTCCCATCCGTTACATTATATTCAACACATTTCTAATGGACACATGAATGCACACCCAATAGCCTACAATCAGCCTGGCAGTAAAGACGCACACCTTCTTTCTGGCTTACTTAATGAGAGGGCTGGGGCTATCTGACAGATACCAAATGCTGGATGTCGGGCTGTAGAGACGTATTTTGTTTGGCTTTAAAGCCTTGTTCGACAACACTTCGGAACACACAACACACAGCGGCAGCGGCTCGTTCTCACTGCCCACGCACTTAAAACCCAGAGCCAGGTACTCACTGCTATATTTTCTCTTCTTTATTTTGGATTTTGGGTTATCGGTATAGGACACTGAAGCATTTTTCTTTGTTTGTAGATGGACCTTTTTATATATCTTTTCTTGTAAGAGAACCAAACACAAGCCACTTATCCATGATATGAAGGGTAATTAGGCAGTTATGCTACATTCTGCATTAGCTTTCTTGTCATGTCACATATA